TTCTCATTACTATAGTAATGAGTTTCTAGTTATTGTTATTATTAGGGCTTTTCGCTTTCAGGCGAAAAGCCCTATTGTTTTCGTCTTGTTTTATTATTATTATTATTATTATTCTGACACTTTTTATGTCAAGGATTAAAAGAAATCTCTAAGAGATATATTTATTATTTGATAACCAACTAATAGACCATCTAAATGTCTCTGGAATGTAAGGTTTTGGACTTCTGGTTACGTCACTTCCGGTCTTTGGAAGTCAAAACCTTTCTTTTCAATAGTAGCCAATATCTTTGTTAATTTACTGATAATTTCTTTAAAATTTAAGGAATAGATTCACGATAGTATTTCCTACAAAAAAGTTAGCGGCAGTGATTTTTGACCACAGATACTTTTCAAGCTATAAGACTCCAAGCATTGAAGAAGGGGGGATGAAAATTTCAAAAGTGATAAATAATGGTCGAAAAGATATACTGAGCAATGCAGATTGTTAAGCATGATAAATAAAAGTTACACTGTAAGTTTCATGTCAATCAGATCAGTACTTCCGGTTTTATGAGTCTTTGAAATTGTCTATGGGAGTTTATATGTTAAATTCGAAATCACGCATTTCACTTTTTCTCCAAAAGTAAACATGATATTCTTGTGAAATTCAGAATATAGAATGACTGTGGCATTGTTCCGACCTGATTAAGTTTTGAAATAAAAATTCGGGAACATAAGGGATTTCAAGGGGCCAAACCTGAAAACAAACTTTTCCCTGTAACTTTTTTATTTCTTAACCAATTTTTAAACCATTTTCGGTTTTGGCTTCAGCATTAAGAGTACAACATAAGAATTATGGTCCTTGGGGTCACTTTTTGTCCCCTTATAGGAGTTTCTGAGGACTGAAAAAACGTAATTTGTATTTGTTAAAATAAATGAAAAGTAAGAGTTATCTCTCTTTGCATGGTTGTTAGAACGCTTATTTACTGTACAGGTTTCAATTTTGGTGCACATACAAAAAGTACTTCCGGTTTTATTAGTCTTTGAAAATTGTCTATGGGAGTTTCTATGTTAAATTTGAAATCACGCATTTCACGTTTTCTCCAAAATTAAACAAGATATTCTTGTGAAATTCAGAATATAGAATGACTGTGACATTGTTCCGACCTGATTAAGTTTTGAAATTGAAATTCGGGAAAATAAGGGATTTCAAGGGGCTAATTTTGAAAACTGATTTTCCCATGTAACTTTTTTATTTCTAAATAAATTTTAGAACAGTTTTCGATCCTGAGTTGAGCATAAAAGGCACAATTTAAAAATTATGGTCCGTGGGGTCACTTTTTGACTCCTTATGGGTGTTTTAGGGACCTGAAATAAAGTAATTTCAAAAATAACAATGTAAGAGTTATCCCCGTTTGTAGAGCTCTAGTGAGAATTACATACTCTTTAGGTTTCAATTTTCATAAGCTTCTGAAAACTTGTCCCGGTCTGATTATTTTTTTTTATGTTCTCATTTTGTTAGAGATAAAGCTCTTTGAGATTTAAAGCGTCGAAAAGCCCTCCGTTTTTGTTGAATGACAAAAAAGGTCTAATTAGGGCTTTTCGCTTTCAGGCGAAAAGCCCTATTGTTTTGATCTTTTTTATTATTATTATGCTGAACACTTTATCGTCACGGATTTAAGGAAAGCCTTTTTATATATACATTTTATTTCATAACCATCTTATAGAGCATGCAAATGTCTCCCGTATGTAATGCTTAGAAGTTCCGTATACGTCACTTCCGGTATCTATGACAAGAAAACTTAAATTTCTAAAGAAGCTAAAATCTTTCTCATTTTAATAGCCAAGTTTCCAAAATTAAAGAAATAGATTCTTGAAACCAATACCTACGAAAAAGTCAACGACAGTGGTTTTTGACCACAGATACTTTTTTGAGATATATGACTTCAAACATTGAAAAAGGGGGATGGAATTTTTAAAAGTCACAATTAATGGGAGAAAATTATTCTGACCATTGATGTATATTCAGACTGATGATTACAAGATACACTGTAAGTTTCATGATAATCAGAGTGGAACTTCCAGTTTTACGGGTCTTTGAAAATTGTCTATGGGAGTTTCTATGTTAAATTGAAATCAGTCGTGGCACGTTTTCTCTTAAAATAATTAAGATGTTCTTGTGAGATTTTAAGTGTAAAATGACCTTGATACGTTACCGACCTCATTAGGTCATGAAAAGGAAATTCAGGAAAATAAGGGATTTCTAGGGGCCAACATGGAAAACAGACTTTTTCCTGTAACTTTTTTATTTCTCAATGAATTTTTAAACAGTTTTCTATTCTGGGTTCAGATTAAAGGGAACAATTTAAAAATTATGGTCCGTGGGGTCACTTTTTGACCCCTTATAGGAGTTACAGAAGACAGAAATAATGTAATTTTTATTTATTTAAAAAAAAAATAGAGTAAGAGTTATCTCCCTTTGAACATCAGTTAACAGGCTTATTCTCTTTAGGTTTCAAGTTTGGTATCATATGACAAGTACTTCCGTTTTTATGAATCTCTAAATTTGTCTATGGGAGTTCTCATGTAAAATCTAAAATTGCACATTTCACGATATCTCTTAAAGTAATAAAGATATTCTTGTGAAAATTTACTGATATAATGACTGTGATATTATTTCAACCCAGTTACGGTTTTAAAATGAATTTCTGGAAAATAAGGGATTTCTAGGGGCCAAAGTTGAAAACTGACCTTTGCCCATAACTTTTTTAATTCTTAATGAATTTTTGAACAGTTTTCTATTCTGTGTTTATCTTAAGGATATGTGAACCTGAAATAAAAGTAATTGGAAAGTTAAAAAAATATGTACCGTTGCATAGAGGACAAGTCCCTTGTCCAAAAATCAACAATTCTGATATATGTACATGAGTTGGTTTCCATGGGAACAACCTCTGAACTTGCCCTTGTTTCAAAAGATTAAAGCTATGAAGAAAAGTCTACTGTAATTAATTAAAGTTAAAAAAAATCTCATAAATTACGATTAGAATTTAATTTTTTGCAGTTATCTTAAAGATTTAAGAATGAGCATAATGTAGTAAAAATTTTTTATAGGTGTCATATTCAGAGAGCAGACAATCACAGTCCGAATTTCCTCTGCCCTCTTAAAATTTGACTATTTTTCCTTGACCTTGACTATAAAAAAGGATATAAAATCATATTGGCTATAATTAAAAACTTTTATTTCTAAATTCCATTTTAAAATAGTGTTACAGAGCTAAGTAATGGAGGAAAAAAAATGGTATGTACATGAGTCGGAAAAAAAGATATGGTAATCCAAATTTTCTCTGACCACTTTTAAAAAATTACTTCTGATACATGATTATCTGTAAAAAAGGCTATAAAATTTCATAGCTATCATATTTATATCGCTCACTATCACAGTCTGAATTTCCTCTGCCCTCTTTAAATTTGACTATATTTCCTTGCCCTTGACTACAAAAAAGGATATAAAATCACATTGGGTATAATTGAATATTTTATTTTTCAACTTCATTTTAAAGAAGTGATATATAGCTATGTAACAGAGGAAAAAAATTGGTATGTACATGAATTGGAAAAAAAAGATATGGTAATCTGAATTTTCTCTGACCACGTTTTTTAAAAACTGATTCCTAGAGCACATTTATCTGTGTTGATGTATAAAAAATCAAACAAAAAAATTATTTAATTTGATTTTAAATATGTATAACTATCTTGAAATAAAACTAAAAATCATGCATATAAAGAAAATTATGAATCAGTCTTTAATAATTAAGATAATTATCACCCCAATTTCCTATTTTCCTTTAAACATTACTTTTTATACCCCCGCTCTGAAGGAGAGGCGGGTATACTGTTTTACCCTTGTGTGTCTGTCCGTCTGTCTGTCTGTCTGTCTGTCCGTAACAAACTTTGGTCGCAGTTTTCTCAGCAACTACTCATCAGAGGTGCTTGAAATTTTAACACACTCTTTGTTTAGGCATGCCATATGGTGGGATTCACTTTTGTACGAATCCGATGTCAACTTCCTGTTTATCCGTGCATTTGTCCGTACCATACATAAAAAAATTTGGTCGTAGTTTTCTCAGCAACTACTCATCGCAGATGCTTGAAATTTTAGCACAATCTTTGTTTAGGCATGCCATATGGTGGGATTCATTTTTGTACGAATCCGATGTCAACTTCCTGTTTATCCGTGCATTTGTCCGTACCATACATAAAAAAATTTGGTCATAGTTTTCTCAGCAACTACTCATCGCAGATGCTTGAAATTTTAGCACAATCTTTGTTTAGGCATGCCATATGGTGGGATTCATTTTTGTACGAATCCGATGTCAACTTCCTGTTTATCCGTGCGTCTGTCCGTACCATACATAATAAATTTTGGTCGTAGTTTTCTCAGCAACTACTCATCGCAGATGCTTGAAATTTTTTCTTTGTTTAGGCATGCCATATGTTGGGATTCAATTTTTACAAATCCGATGTCAGTTTCCTGGTTATCACTGTGTTTGTCCATAACTGAACTTGTGTATTCACATCAGAGCGGGGGTATTATTAGTGAGCATTGGCTCACAGACTTCTTGTTTATTTTGAATGATGGCAGAAAAAAACGAACAATGAATTCTCATTAAATTTCTATACAAGGAACTTTTAACCATTGAATGTACAATGTATTAGAATATGGGACAAAAGGATCTAAATTAATCCTTTATAAAAGTAGTGTATTTTCATAATCTAATTCCCCAAAAATTGCAGTCCGAATTTCCTCTCTTTAAACTCACATTAACACTTATAAGCATTATCTGATACAAATGACATATTTTTGCATAATCTAATTGGAAATAGTATTAAAATGTACAACATATAAAGATAACAATCACCAGTTTAAAATATCCCTGTTAAAAAGTTCGAGCAATAACTGTTAGTTCTGTTTATACAAAATGATTTTTAACCTTGACAAAAGTTTCAACATAGTTCTAGTAAAGCTAGCTTCTATGACATAGTGAATTTTTTTTATCTTTCCTTTCCTTTTCAACTGCAAGCTTTTTTGGGCCACGAACTTTGTTGAAATATTAATAACTGCAGGTGAAGGTCTTTTGAAGTAAACATTTCAGTCTTTGGTGACAGAGGCAAAACAGTGTGATTCTTAGCCTGGAAAATAAAATCCATTTTAGTGTTAACCTTAATGATAAGTGGACATGGATATATAGAGGATATCTATATTGTGTGATTTGATATTTGCTTCATCCAATGAGTTGAATGGTATATTCACGAGGCTTGCCAATATATTCTAACTACAACTTAACTGCTAGGTCTAACATTTCCTATGAGAGCAATTGTGTGTGTGTGGGGGGGGGGGGGGGGGGGTAACATGTAACATCCTTTATCACTGTAGCCAGTACATTGATAAATTTTGACATTTCACGGAAGTGTAATTAGTTTTTTTCTCATTTTTAATATTTTTAATGAACATTTTTGCTCATTAGCATTCATTTGATAACACAGAACTTTCACAATTAGAAGTTTCGATAAGTTTACATTTAAGTTTGAAGCGAGGCCTAGGGATTGTGTCGAAACTGGAAGACGTGCTATTGATAAAGCACATACCCGTGGATACAGCATAGGTTTATCTTATGGGTATATATATATATATATATATATATATATATATATATATAGTATACAAGTAAAATTGTAAATACAGTCAAACCTTATTATCTCGAACTAGATGGGCCTGAGAAAAATCTTCGAGACATCCAAGCATTCAAGATATAAGGGGTAAAATACTTTAAAGATAAGTAGTTGAGACTTCCAAATCACTTCGACATATCCATGGTATTCGAGATATCAGTGTTCGAGATATCAAAGTTCAACTGTATATGATACCTATTTAAAATTTACTACATTACTACATAACATTTTAATAATTTGACACCTTTCCAGTTATTTATGAAATATGACTACTAGTCTAATGAGGCTTCAAAAAGTTATATTTTTATAAATTCTAGTATCTTGCTAGCAAGTTAAAGGGAGGACCTTTTGATTCTGAGGGCAGATTTTGGAAATTATCTGACCTAGAAGATGTTAATAAAATAAAAAAAATCTTCTCCACTGGGAAGATTTTTTTTCTTTTGTCTAATTTATTCCAGTGAAAATAAAATAATAAACTTGCTGTCACAATTTGTCTTTGGTGAGCTGGGAAATAAATATTTTGTCCTTATTGAAGGCCAGAAATTATATTACCCTCCCCTCCCCATCACCATCACCACCAGAATTGAATGCATAGTGAACCCATTTTTAGCTCACCTCGACGAAGTCGAGATGAGCTTATGCTATACCCCCGGCGTTGGCGTTAGCGTCGGCGTCCCGGTTAAAGTTTTAGGAGCAAGTCCCATTCCCAAGTTACTATAAGCCCTACCTGGACCAAACTTGCATGGATGATGCATCTAGAATGGACACTGCCACACTTGCTTCGGATGCTGGATCTGACCTAGATTTTCCAGATGAGTGACCAGGTTAAAGTTTTTGGAGCAGGTCCATTCCCAAGGAACTATACACCCCACCTGAACCAAACTTGTATGGATGATGCATCTAGGGATGGACACTACCACACTTGCTTCGGATGCTGGATCTGACCTAGATTTTCCAGATGAGTGACCAGGTTAAAGTTTTTGGAGCAGATCCATTCCCAAGTAACTATAAGCCCTACCTGGACCAAACTTGCATGGATGATGCATCTAGGGATGGACACTACCACACTTGCTTCGGATGCTGGATCTGACCTAGATTTTCCAGATGAGTGACCAGGTTAAAGTTTTTGGAGCAGGTCCATTCCCAAGTAACTATAAGCCCTACCTGGACCAAACTTGCATGGATGATGCATCTAGGGATGAACACTACACACTTGCTTCGGATGCTGAATCTGACCTAGATTTTCCAGATGAGTGACCAGGTTAAAGTTTTTGGAGCAGATCCATTCCCAAGTAACTATAAGCCCTACCTGGACCAAACTTGCATGGATGATGCATCTAGGGATGGACACTACCACACTTGCTTCGGATGCTGAATCTAATCTAGATTTTCCAGATGAGTGACCAGGTTAAAGTTTTTGGAGCAGGTCCATTCCCAAGTAACTATAGGCCCTACCTGAACCAAATTTGCATGGATGATGCATCTAGGGATGGACACTACCACACTTGCTTCAGATGCTGAATCTGACCTAGATTTTCCAGATGAGTGACCAGGTTAAAGTTTTTGGAGCAGATCCATTCCCAAGTAACTATACGCCCTACCTGAACCAAACTTGCATGGATGATGCATATAGGGATGGACACTACCACACTTGCTTCGGATGCTGGATCTGACCTAGATTTTCCAGATGAGTGACCAGGTTAAAGTTTTTGGAGCAGGTCCATTCCCAAGTAACTATAAGCCCTACCTGGACCAAACTTGCATGGATGATGCATATAGGGATGGACACTACCACACTTGCTTCAGATGCTGGATCTAACCTAGATTTTCCAGATGAGTGACCAGGTTAAAGTTTTTGGAGCAGGTCCATTCCCAAGTAACTATAGGCCCTACCTGAACCAAACTTGCATGGATGATGCATCTAGGGATGGACACTACCACACTTGCTTCGGATGCTGAATCTGACCTAGATTTTCCAGATGAGTGACCAGGTTAAAGTTTTTGGAGCAGATCCTTTCCCAAGTAACTATAAGCCCTACCTGAACCAAACTTGCATGGATGATGCATATAGGGATGGACACTACCACACTTGCTTCGGATGCTGGATCTGACCTAGATTTTCCAGATGAGTGACCAGGTTAAAGTTTTTGGAGCAGGTCCATTCCCAAGTAACTATAAGCCCTACCTGGACCAAACTTGCATGGATGATGCATCTAGGGATGGACACTACCACACTTGCTTCGGATGCTGAATCTAACCTAGATTTTCCAGATGAGTGACCAGGTTAAAGTTTTTGGAGCAGATCCATTCCCAAGTAACTATACGCCCTACCTGAACCAAACTTGCATGGATGATGCATATAGGGATGGACACTACCACACTTGCTTCGGATGCTGGATCTGACCTAGATTTTTCCAGATGAGTGACCAGGTTAAAGTTTTTGGAGCAGGTTCATTCCCAAGTAACTATAAGCCCTACCTGGACCAAACTTGCATGGATGATGCATATAGGGATGGACACTACCACACTTGCTTCAGATGCTGAATCTAACCTAGATTTTCCAGATGAGTGACCAGGTTAAAGTTTTTGGAGCAGGTCCATTCCCAAGTAACTATAGGCCCTACCTGAACCAAACTTGCATGGATGATGCATCTAGGGATGGACACTACCACACTTGCTTCGGATGCTGAATCTAACCTAGATTTTCCAGATGAGTGACCAGGTTAAAGTTTTTGGAGCAGATCCTTTCCCAAGTAACTATAAGCCCTACCTGAACCAAACTTGCATGGATGATGCATATAGGGATGGACACTACCACACTTGCTTCGGATGCTGGATCTGACCTAGATTTTCCAGATGAGTGACCAGGTTAAAGTTTTTGGAGCAGGTCTATTTCCAAGTAATTATAAGCCCTACCTAAACCAAACTTGTATAGATATTGATCTTGGGATGTACACTAACTAGAAAAAATATGATGTGAGATTTGCCTTACTTATAGATAACCTTCGTCGAGGTGAGCTTCGTAATCTTTGATTACCTATGTTTTTTATTTTAATAAAATTAATTCATTCCTACCTATTCCATTGGTTGCAACACAATAGAAATCTTTTAATGCATCTGGATCCATAGGAACATGCTGCTAAGAGTTGAATAAGTTGAGAGATTTTGACTGCTGACCTACATTGTTCATTTTCCTCCTTGATACCTGTACAAATAACAAATCAGTCACAAATACATTCAATTTACAAGGAAATTTTATAGATATTATTTGAATATGTACAATCAATGTCAATTAGTTATTACCGGTAGTAAGTAAAAAGCTTTAGCATTACAATGAAAAGTAAGTGCCAAATTCCAAAGCAACTCATGTTACATGTACAGCTTTTATGATTTCAATCAATGTTAGCAAAACATATCTGCTTTTATAATTTCATAGAACAGTTACATCATTTAAAGCAGTATAATTATTCATTTGCCAAAATTTATTTTAGTAGAGATCCAAAGCCATAGGTCTTGAAGTTAAATTGTTTCCAAATGATTGAATGGCAAAAGGATATTTAATATTTAATCAGACCTTTGTTTGTCATAATGCCCAGCAATCTTCCATAATCTGTAATCTCACATTGTTTTGGGAATTATCTCTCTCTAAAACATCTTCCTTCCTTTATCTGAAATTGATATAATAATAAAAAGTGCTAATTATTATTTATTAAAATTTTCATACAATTCCAAAATTCTAAAAGAATTATGCAGCATATAAGCATCCATAACCAACAACAAAGACTAATGAATGAATGTGTAAAGTCACCACAGTGTTCAAGCTCACTCGGGAAAAGGAGTCATTTTGAAATAAGAATAAAATTGGTCAATTTGTTGTCTTAAAAAAAATTATGAACACTTTTTGATCAAGTCTTTTTTCCCCACATTACTTCATTTCTTAGGCTAAGTACATAACCCATCATTTTTTAATAAGTCATATCTTGTATTGCACAGACATACATCATACTGAATTGTTTATCATTAAGTTTGTCACTTGGCTAGTGAAGTGTAATTTGATAGTTTGACTCTAGTAAACAAAAAGTAATTACCAGGGTTCGACACTAACTTTTTTACCTTGGTGGACCGCAGGTCCACTAGTCAAAAAATATTGGTGGACCTTCTCAAATTCTGGTGGACCTTTATAAATAATTGAATTAATGAATGAATTCATTACACAAGGCTTGAAACCAACTTAGGTACCCAGTCTCGTCAGACTAATAAAGTATATGTTTAACCAGTCAACAGAAACAAATCAATTACTAGTAGTCAGGAGTTTTTAGCAATATTGTGAAACATATTTTCAATATTTAAAAAAAAGAACACAATCTACATCTTCAAACAATTTGTTATTTTAATATTATTTATTTACAATGGTAAAAACCTGCATTTATTTAGCTTCCAAAGGTAGATACAATTTATAATCCCAATAATTGAGTTGTTCATATAAACAAATGAATTTTTCATGTATCTATGGCTAGAATACTTTTTACAACGATGCAAAACTGACAAAAGTATATTTATTTATCTATTATTTTTTTTTTAATTATTATTTATTCAAATAAACTGCGATCATATGATTCTTTTATGTGATATAATGTATAGCAGAAAAAAAACAGGAACTGCAGATAATGTATTCATAAAATATAAATCACACCTGTTTGAAGACAATGCATAAATGCAGCTGTCAATCAATTCTCATTATCTCCAAACCTGGCCATCAGAAAGTCAGGCGTGAAGTGATTTCCTGTTACCCAGTGTATATTTTCACACCTTTCTGTGCATTAAACAAACAAAGGACAGACTGACCAATTTGGCTCAAATTTTACTTGCTTCTTTTTCAAGGTCCGTGTTGAATATTACATTTAATTATTCATGAATTAATGAACTTATCATTACATGTTTTATCTTTGATTGTATCATTTTATGTAATATATTGTTTGTTATTTAGAAGGCCCCGGGGAAGAATAGTACCTTGTACTAATCGGGTTACCTTCTCTAAATAAAGCATTATTATTATTATTATTATTATTATTAATGTTCTTGAAGTCAATGTTATTGATATTGTAGTCATCAATATTACATGTAAAATATATATTTAGTTGCTTGGTTCCCCTGATTACCCAAAATAAATTATACCCTATTTATTTCTTGTAAAATATAAGTATGGATGAATTAATCGTTGATTTACAGATGTCGATTTATAGAAAAAGTGGAATTACCGTTTTTTTTTTTTAAATATGGTGTTTAATTTTTAAGTGGACCGACGGTCCACCTAGTCCAGAACATTTGGTGGACCTTCCAATTTTTTGGTGGACTCGGGCCGCCGGTCCACTGTTAGTGTCGAACCCTGAATTACAATGTTTATCTTAGAAATGTCACTTCAGATTATATTATAATTCCATATTCATAAATGAAGGAAAATTTTGATCCCACTAAGAATTAAAAGACTTTAAAGCAACCCGAGAGGTAAATATTTTATGCAACTGTATATTTTCAAGTCTGAAAAACACAAGTACAAAATATGTGGCACCAAATATTATACTCAGAGCTCACTGATGTCATGCTAGATGTTTATTTTTCCCATCTGTTTGAATTTATGAGCGAGATATCTATAAATATGTAACTGTATAGGAAAATTTGGCAGATTTTCTGCAATTTTAAATTAAAGCTTAAATTAAAAAGTTTAAACTGACGTGAATGATGTAAATCCCGGTTAGTAAGAAAATGAATGTCGATGATGCTATAATGATATTAATTACAACCAAAGAATAAGTATACAGCTGTATAAGGTGTGAAGTTATCATTCTGTTTGGTGCATGCACAGGGGCTTGCTCCCAGCGTGTAATAATTATTTATTTAAAAAAAATCATATACGTTACTACTAAAACTACACAAGGTGTAGTTTTAGTAGTAACATATATGATTTTTTAAAAAAAAATAATTATTACACGCCGGGAGCAAGCCCCTGTGGTGCATGTTTATTCTGCTGTTTATTTTTACTAACCTGAAACAATGTAGTGCATCGTGATACTGTATTCAGAGGTGACATCGCTTGGGAAGTTGTTGCACGAAACCTAACAGCATCAATCTCTTTATTTCTTGCCTAAATATAACCGTTTACTGGAATTTTTGCTGTGTTTTCCGTGCAAATGTATCGTTGCGTCCCTCTCTACCGATATGGTGTCGCAAAACGGCAAGGGTATGTCGTAAATGCTCCGAGGTCGGAAGAACAAGCAAAAAGCAAAAATTTATGAAAAACATGCAATATTAATTTAATTTGATTTTATTTCACAAGGAATTCGGTGTTTACGATCCTTTAGAATAGTTTAATAGCAAAACCAAACGCTCTACATATGATCACGACATTGACCTGATCTTCAGCAGTTCGAGTTGCGCGGTAGGTTCAAAATCGTCAGGTTCACATATCCTTAATCACAACGTATATGATTTTAAGCGTCGAAAAGCCCTCCGTTTTTGTTGAACGACAAAAAAGGTCTAGTTATTATTGTTATTATACTGAAGTTCAACACTTTTTTTGTTCAGCATTTGAGGAGTACCTTTAGAAATAGGATTTTTCTCTTATAACCACTAGATAGGAAATGTAAATATCTCGCGTATGTAAGGTATTGAACTTCCGGTTTAGGCACTTCCGGTTTCTACTAAAGAAAAACTAAAATACCTAAAGAAGCTAAAATCTTTCTCATTTTGAATGTCTAGACTCTCAAATTCAAGATTGAAATTCTAGAGACGAATACCTACAAAAAAGTTAGTGACAGTGATTTTCGACCACTGATACTTTCTGAGATATAAGACTTCAAACATTGAAAAAGGGGGGATGAAATTTTTAAAAGTCACAATTAAGGTTTGAAAATTATTTTGAGCATTGAAATACGTTAAGACTAATAAGTTTTACATATACTGTAAGTTTCATATCGATCCGAGCCGAACTTCGGGTTTTAAGGATCTTTGAAAATTGTCTGTGGGAGTTTCTATGTTAAATTGAAATCAGTCGTGGCACGTTTTCTCTTAAAATAATCAAGATATTCTTGTGAGATTTTAAGTGTAGAATGACCTTGATACGGTACCAACCTCATTAGGTCATTAAAAGAAAATTCGGGAAAATAAGGGATTTCTAGGGGCCAATATTGAAAACAGACTTTTTCCTGTAACTTTTTTATTTCTCAATGAATTTTTTTAAAAACAGTTTTCTATTCTGGGTTCAGATCAAAGAGAACAATTTAAAAATTATGGTCCGTGGGGTCACTTTTTGACCCCTTATAGGAGTTACAGAAGACTGAAATAATGTAATTTTTATTTATTTCAAAAATAATAGACTAAGAGTTATCTCCCTTTGAACATCAGTTAACAGGCTTACATACTCTTTAGGTTTCAAGTTTGGTATGCATATGACAAGTACTTCCGGTTTTATGAATCTCTAAATTTGTCTATGGGAGTTCTCATGTTAAATGGAAAGTTGCACATTTCATGATATCTCTTAAAGTAATCAAGATATTCTTGTGAAAATTTATTGATATCATGACTGTGATATTGTTTCAACCCCATTAGGGTTTTAAAATGAATTTCTGGAAAATAAGGGATTTCTAGGGGCCAAAGTTGAAAACTGACCTTTGCCCATAACTTTTTTAATTCTTAATGAATTTTTCAACAGTTTTCTATTCTGGGTTAAGCTTTTAAAAAGAGTACAATCTAAAAATTATGGTCCATGGGGTCACTTTATGACCCCTTATAGGAGTAACAGAGGACTGAAATAATGAAATTTTTATTTATTCCAATAATGTGGCATGCTTCCACACCCTTGTGGTCTAGGACAGTGATTGAGTTGGCCCGAACACAATGATTTGTGTAGCGTTATTTCAAATATGATGAAGTAAGAGTTATCTACCTTTGCACATCTGTTGGTGGGCTTACATACTCTTTAGGTTTCAAGTTTGGTATGCATATGACAAGTACTTCAGGTTTTATGAATCTCTAAATTTGTCTATGGGAGTTCCCATGTTAAATGGAAAAAAGGAAAAATGCACATCACGATATCTCCTAAACTCAATAAGATTTTTTTGTGAAAATTGAGTGATATAATGACTTTCACATTGTTTCAACCATATTAAGGTCTGAAAATGAAAATCTGAAAAATAAGGGATTTCAAGGGGCTAATTTTGAAAACTGATTTTCTCATGTAACTTTTTTATTTCTAAATGAATTTTTGAACAGTTTTCGATTCTGAGTTCAGCATAAAGAGTACAGTTTAAAAATTATGGTCCGTGGGGTCACCTTTTGACCCCTTATAAGTGTTTTAGAGACCTGAAATATAGTAACTTTTAGTAATTTTCAAAATAACATTGTAAGAGTTACCCCCCTTTGCAGAGCTCTAGTGAGAATTACATACTCTTTAGGTTTCCATTTTTATAAGCTCCTGAAGACTTGATCCGCTTTGATTATTTTTTTTTATGTTTTTCATTTTGTTAGAGTTATCGCTCTTTAAGGTCCTTGTGATTTTAAGCGTTGAAAAGCCCTCCGTTTTTGTTGAATGACAAAAAAGGTCTAGTTATTGTTAAGGTCTTCCGTCTTCACAGAAGACCTTATAGTGATTCTACTGTTTCTTGTTATTATTAAGGTCTTCCGTCTCCAACGGAAGACCTTATTGTTTTCGTTCGGTTTCTTTTTCCCTATTATTATTATTCTTTCCGATTTTGTGCA